AAAATTTATGAAGTATTGGTATTAATCCTTCTTTAAATGTCTGCTAAAACAATTCTTTTAAAATGTTTGGTGAAAAAGAAAAATTTGCGTGTAGTTTTTGGATCAGTAATTTAATTTCTTTACTTTTTAAAGATGTACTCAACTTGGCTATTTCTTCTTAAGTCAGTTTCAGAAGTTTGTATCTTTCTAATTTGCCCATTTCATCTAAGTTATCTAATTTGTTGGCATACAGTTGTTCATAGCCTTTAGTTTTTTTTTTTTATGTTTCTGTAAGATCAGTAGTGATATCCTCTTTTATTCTTTTAGTAATTTGAGTCTTCACTATTATGCTAGTGCTCCATCTAGTTAAAAGTTAACGATTTCGTCCATCTTTCCAAAGAACCAACCCATGATGTTGTTAATTTTCCCTATTAATTTTATATTCTCTATTTCACTAATTTATGCTCATATATTTTTTTCTTCTGCCTGCTTTGGGTTCAGTTTCTCTTTTTTCTAGTTTCAGGCAGAAGTTTAGGTTATTGATTTGAGATGTTCCTTCTTTTTAAATATAGGTATTTCCAGCTATAAATTTCCCTCTAATGTCAATTTTAGCTGCATCCCATGTCTTTGTTGTTTTCATTTTCATTCATCTCAAAGTATTTTCTAATTTCCCTTGTGATTTTTGACACATTTAAAGTGCCTAATTTCTTTCCGAAGTCCCCAAGTTTTTCTCCCTTATTACTGATTTCTAATATATTGTGGTCAGAGTACTTTCTTTGTATGATTTCAGTCTTTTTATTTATTGAAGTTTGTTTTATGGCCCAGCATATGGCCTATGAAGAATGTTCCTATGCACTTGAGCAGAATGTGTATTTTGCTGTTCAAATCTTCTATTCCTTTGTTGATCTTATGTCTAGTTGTCCTATTCATTATTAAGTGGGTCTTGAAATCTCCCACTGTTATTATTGAATTGTTTGTTTCTCTCTTATTTCTTCCAGACTTTGATTCATCTATTTTGAGGGCTTCTTAAATGCATATATGTTTTAAATCATTGTATCTTCCTGAGTGAATCTTTAATCATTATGAAATGTCCCTTTTTATCTTTTGTAATATTTATTTGTTTTAAAGTTAATTTTGTCTGATATTAGTATCAACACTCCAACAGTTTTATGGTTTGTGCTTGTATGGTATATATATATTCTCCATCCTTTTACTTTCAACTTACTTTGACTATGAAGTGCTTCTCCTATAGACAGCATATCTGTTGAATCAATTTGTGTCTTGATTTTTTATTCAACCTGACAATCTCTGCCTTTTGATTTAACTAATTCATATTTAATGTTGTTATTGATATAACTGGGCATATTTCTCCCATTTTGATTTTTTTCTGTATGTCTGATGTCTTTTTTTCCCCATTCCTTCATTATTACCTTCTTTTGTATTAAGTGGATATGTTCCAGTGTAACATCATGATCCCTTCCATATTTTAAGTGTATTTTAAAGTTATTTTTTTTTTTTGGTGGTAGTTCTAGGGCTTACAATATACATCCTAACTTACCAGAATTTATTTCATATTATAGATAAGTTCCAGTGAAATATATAATATAGAACATTTATTCCTATATAGTTCCTTTCCATCCCAGCCTTTTTGTATTATTATATATATATATTAGATCCATATGCTGTAAATTAAACAATAGTTATAATTATTACTTTATATCACCTTATATCTTTTAAAACAGCTAAGAGGAGGGCAGGTGTATATTCATAATTTGTTATATTAACCATCTTATGTATCATTTTTGGCTCTCTTCATTTGTTCTTGTAGATTCTAAATATCATCTGATATCATTTCCTTACTTCAAGACAGCTTTATTTCCACCTCCAACAGAAGAATAATACATATAGTTTCATGTGGTTGCTTTTTAAGTTAAGAGGTTTAAGTCTCTTAAGAAAGAAGAAACATACAATTATACTGTCTTTTATAAGTACCTGTATGAGTATCTTTATTGGCGCTTTGTTTTTTTATGTGGATTTGAATTACTGTCCTTTGTCACTTGCTTTATGTTTGAATAATTTCCTTTGTGTTTCTTATGATATAGGTCTACTAGCAATGGACATTCTTTTTATTTATCTGGTAACATCTTTATTTCACCTTGATTTTTGAATGAAGTTTCACCAGCTAATCATGTTGGGGTTTCCTTGTATGTGATAAGTCATTTTTCTCATACTGCTTTCATGATTTTTCTCATCTTTGGCTTTCAACATTTGACGAACATGTGTTTGTGTGTAGAGCTCTACACACCCAGACACAATACTGGGAGTTTATCCTATTTGGTGTTTGTTGGGCTTCTCTGATGTGTAGATTTATATTTTTCATCAAATTCAGGCATTTCCATCCATCTCCTTCAATATTTTTTTCTGCTCCATTCCTCTCCTCTGGTACTTTCATTATGCATATGTTGGTATGTTTAATGGTGTCCCACATTTCTCTGAAGTTATTTTTCTTCATTACTTTTTCTCTCTGGTCTTCAGATTGTGCAATTTCTATTGATCTATCTTCAAGTTCACTGATTCTTTCCTCAGTCACCTCAAATATACTATTGAGCTCCTCTAGTAAATTTTCCATTTCATTTATTAGACTTTTCAACTCCAGGATTTTCCTTTGGTTCATTATTTTTAAAAATAATTTCTATTTCCTTATCGACAAATCTTTGTCTCCTACGTCCACCATCTGGGCTTCTTCTAAGGCAATGTTTATTGCCTATTCCTCCCACCCCACTGTGTATGGGTGACTTTCTTGGTTCTTTGCATGTTTTATAAATATTTTTGTTATAAACTGGATATTTTATATAGTATTGTAACTCTGGATAATGATCCTCTTCCTATGGGGGATTGTTATTTGCTTATTTTCTCTGTAACAGTGTGCAGCCTGATGTTCTCTCTCTTTCAGTCTAGCTACCTAAAGGTTGCCCCTGGGTCAGCATAAAGCAATTACTGGTCAGTGATATTTTTACCCTTTAACACTGGATGTGTGTGTGTGCTTGGAAGCTGCTATCACAGTTCAGAGAGGTTACTTTTGACCCATGTTCAGCCAGGGACTAGGAGCTTGGAGGTTCCTTCTCTGTTCTGAGAAGGCATATCCATGGAATAGACATGTTCTTCCAGATTTTCAAGGATGAGTGTGGTTTTATTTTTAAGACCGAGTTCTTAGGAGTTACCTTTGGGTTAGAGAAACTTATTATTCAGTCAGTATTCGGTCAGGTTCCTTGTGCCAGGGAAGATGTTGCCATGTATTGATGAGTCTGCACATACTGGGAAATGCTTTTAAGTCTGTCCCACATTCTGCTCTGATTGCCCTGAGTGGGTGAAGCCCAGCACATGCACACAGCATTTTCAATCTCCAAGGTTGACTGTGCTCCCAGGAGGGTTCGTCTGGGCTCCCTCTTACTAGTAAACTTTGGGTGCTCTGCTGCTTTGCTTGCACCAGCTTCTCCTAATTGCTCTCCACCAAGATTCACATTGTTTCTGACAATGTCCTTAGGGGTGGAGTTCTCCAAGCTCTGTTTCAATGCCTTCCCCTTTGGAAAGAACCTCTGCATTACTGAACTACAGCTGGGGGCACGGGGCCCAGAATGAAACCATCATTCTATGAGTGGGCACCAGGGCATGGTGGCAGTTCCTGGTATTCTTGGTTTTCCTTTCCTTGGGTGAAATCTCCAAACTTTTGAGTTAGCTAGGGTGGAAAAATTCATAGCCCCAGTATTCTCAGCCTGTGCATGGAGTAGTGCTTCCACCCTAAGAGTGGGAGCTGGATTGTGGAAGGGAAGGGATCTCCAGTCCTCTTGGCTGTGCCTGCTTGTTAAAGTTTTTGCAACATAGGGTTGGGGAGATGAGAAATGCTGGCAGCTATCTTGCCAAGGTGAAACCACAGGCCCAGAGTAGGAGCTGGGGAAAGAGGGAGACTTAACTTCTCCCAACATCTTCACTACACCTAACCAGAACAGAGCACCCAGGGTAGAGCTTCTATAGCACAGACCTGGGGGTGTGGAGAGCATGCATGTAATTGCTTAAATGCCATGGACTCCTGCCGTTCTTACTGAGATTTAATAGGTTTCTTAAATGAGTGTTTCTCCATTTGATATATGCACTTTGGACAATTTCTAGATACTTTAAGTGACTGTTCTTTTAAAAAATAATTTTTACCAAGTAAGTTGTTGTTTTGCTGGGGAGAGGGTCTACTGAGTCCCTTACTTTACCATTCTGGATGTCTTACCCTTCAATATATTTTTGAACATAACTTCTCAGTGGAAATGTGGTTCAGCAAAAAGAAAAATGGATTGGGTGTTAGAACCCAGAATTTTTATCCCAACTTGACTATCAGCAAGTTCAGTGAATTCTGAAGTTCAGCTTCCTCATTTGTAGAATGAAGACACTGTATTAACTAAATTCCATCCAACTCTAAAATCCTATGATTTTATGAAAGAGAAATGGAATAGGTCGGAATAGGTCATCAATGAAAAAACATTCTACTGCAGCTGTGAGAACAGGAAATATACAAACAATTCACTGCCTTTTTCTAACCAAAAATGTTCCAACCTAGGTTTAATTAGAGAATGTACGTCATTTCCAACTCTACCTAGCTAATCAAAATGCTAATTTAATGCATGGTTTGCAGTCAAGACATTTTTCCACCCCAAAGATTTCCTTTCTAATCATTAGAACTGAGAAACTGGGGGCAACACGAAGTTGCCTTTCACTGATTGGTCATTAAAAACATAACAGCTTAATGTTAAGTGAAAGCACTATAATTTGCAACCATTTTACCTATACTATGTGCATTGCATAGTTACTTTTTCTCTGAGAGAATACCAAGTTTTTACCTTCTGCATAAGGCTGTAAGGCCATACTCCCAGAGTGTCTATTAAATTGCCTACACTTATGTGGAGTGTGTGACTAGCAAAATATCAATTCTCCCTATGCACTGCAGAAAAGAGTTGTTTCAATGGGACACCCATTTCTAGTCACAGAGACATAGTGTTTATTTAGTACTTATTAATCTGCACAGATTGTTTTAACAATAGAACTGTAGTAAAGGGCCTCCTTCGCTGAGTCATTTAGACTTTACTAATCAGTTTTAACCAGCTTATTTGACTTAATATTGTCATTTACCATACAGTTTACATTCAAAATCTATATACTCAAAGCAGGCAGAGAAGGGACCTTTCTATAATTTAAGAAAGCTGCCATTGCAAACATATTTAAATGCTTTCAACTACTAATCCACAATGAAATATCCTATGATAAAGCTACAAAGTAAGAGAGTTGTGAACATACTCTGGCAAAAGTTGCTACTGACACATCCAGCAATTAGGAAGGGTAGCGTGTGCAAAGTGATCCAGAAATAAGGAATCATAATCTTTAAATAACTTGCCTCTAAAGCAAAACATTTTTAACTAGCCATCTTCACAAACTGTGCTTTGTCAACGTCTAAGGGAAAAGGTAAAATATTTATCTCAAGGTATAGGAAAGGTGCAAATCTCTGAAGAGGAAAAATAATTTTTTTGCACATTTTGCAACTCAAAACTGCATATTTGAGTTTACCCAAATGCTAAGGCCTCTTTCTGATTCTCATAAGTGACCCTCAGAATTGAGCTGTTCAAAAATTTCCAAATGAGCCCATCTGCTCACCAAGATATTTCTATAATAAAAACCTTCAGGAAGGCATCTGGCCCAGTTTTTATGATCCCAAATTACCTTGGTTTCAATTTAATTTTTGTAAATTGGGATTCCCTTAGAAAGAAAGCAAAATTTTCAATCTTAAAAATAAAGGGACATTAAGAAACAAAACTCTTATCACCTTGCTCCATTTTCAGAGCCCATATTCCAAAACTGTAGCTTATTCATTCCAAGATGTTAAAAAAATGTTGCAACACTGATTTAGAAACTTATAAATTTTATACCTTTGTGTGAGTATGTAGTATTGCAATGTAAAATTAGTATATTATAATAAATGCCCCTTTTCTTGACATTTCCTCTGAGTGAATCAACCTAGGAAGCTTTCCTTTCATTTTAATTTGTCTATTATGTCACCGTATAGAATCACCTTATTAAGATGGAGTTGAGAATATTTAAGAGTTAGTTACAGTCCTTACAATAAGTGTGTTTTTTAAGTAATTTAAGTTTTTATTAGCTGAAACTACTGGTTAATGACCACAATGACCCAATGGTCCAGAGACCACCTCCAGTCATATGAATAGATATAGCTTCAAATCTTAGTAGGGAAATTTTCCCCACCCTAAAAACATTCCTATCCTTCTTTGACTAAATGTTTCCCATATCACAGAATCCTTTACTTTGATTACCACTATTCACATTCAGAATGAATATTACTAGTGATTACTTTGATCTTAACTGCTTGATTATGCAACTAAGCTAAATCTTCTCCGTCCACAATACTGGAAATGTATAGAAGGAATTAATAGAAGCAACATTTCTATCTCACCAAACCACATTTCTAATAATACAGCTGAGTTACTCAAAGGAGGGGGGTTTTTTCCCCCTCAGAACAGCAATATCTACGGCTTCAGAGGAAGAAATGTCCATTTCTTCCGATTTTGCAGTTGATTATCCATCTCAGTGTTAACTCCAACTCAAAAAGGAAGAGGCATCACTTATTCTGGTGTCATGGACTAACCATAAAATACTGGCTTCAAGCTACTTATCAAATCACCTTTATATAACAAAACTGGACACCTGAGTTAGGTAAGTTTAGATATCCACCTACTAATGACAATACAAAACAGAAAAAAGTTAGTCTCACCTATACCAAAGTATCATTTAAAACGCATTAAAATCATAGACCAACAAAATAAATACTTTAAGACCTTTCCTGAGAAATAAAAATTCATTATATACAGTTATGTGGCTGTTCATGAGATACACAAGTTTTTCAAGTTGAAAGATTATTACCAAATTAAAGCAAATTTAAGTTGGAAAAGGAGAGGAGCTTTCTAAGTGAATATATACCAACATTTTATTAATTATTTCTAGCAGGTAAAATGTGATTATTTTGTTTGGGCCCCTCGTTATTTCAAGCTTAAAAGAACTCATTAAACTACTGAAAAAGGAAGGGAAGACCTTCTAATAAAGTAATTCTGAAGTGTCAACACAGATTATAGAGTCCTGACCACCTAAATATATATGTAATCATCTATTTGCTTAAACGTCATTAATAATTTTAAGTAGATGTTGCTTTATACACATGTATGAGTGTGTGCAGACACATGCATGCATGCACACATCACTTTTGGTTGTTCCTTTGTATAACTTCAGATAGCTAAAGAAATGCATTTAAGATGGAAATAGAAAAGGCAATTAACTTTCTAAGTTTTTTAGATCACTCCCAGTATGGTAACTCTCAAATTACATCAGGGTTTGTGAGTCTTTAAAGAGAAATGTATAAATTTTGGTCCAAAACAAAAGCAAGACTTCATTTGGTGGAAAAATAGAATTCCCACCACTAGATGATAGTTATAATGCTGGTTAATGATGAAGAACATTCTACATACGAACATGAGACTCAAGGTTTTTCTTCATAAAGTGTAACAGTGGCAAATAATTTTTTAAATGTATGTATAGATATCTATCATGGAAGTATTTAAATGAAGGACAGGAAGGAGAAACTGAATCTATACTGTCTTCTTTTTTTTAAAGAAACAAACACTTTCTATCTAAATTGTCAGCATAAAGGAGGTTTGAAAAACTACAAAAACTTGGAAACCAATCTGATTCATCTGATTATGGATATCAAATGGCTCTCAGCCCACAAAAATGGAAATGGGGTAAAGTCAAATAGTAACAAAAATTATGCTTTGATCACAAATAAGGCAGTAACAAGAAAATAATTTGGGGATTAAATACAGGTACTACATTAAATAGATTGTGAAAGATGTAAAACACAATTCCCCTTTGAAATAAATCTTACCTAAAAGAAGTATTATAGAAAGTGGGAATGTATGATTTTTTTTAATAAAACAATTCTGCTTCAGTGCAAATGTGTAGTCAAGGAAAAAAAAGAAAGAAAAGAAAATGTTTCATGTCACTTAGCAGGAACAGTTTCCACAGCCTTTTACACTGTTGATAATTTCTTCTTGTAGTTTCTTCCTTTCCTCCTCTTTGGACACATTTTCTTTCTTTGCATCCCATTTGGGGTTATCATGGTTCTGCACACGGCTGCTCTGTGTATGCCACATTTCTGAATAGATACTGCCAGGGTTAGCAAGCAAACCCTGGTGGGTACCACGTTCAGCTACCTTACCCTAATAAGCAAAAACAAAGAGAAACAGAGAGAAAGTCATATAACTAGCATAATAACTGACAATACATAATACTTCCTAAGCAAGGGATTTAGAAGGATTTGCATTCATTAAAATACCTCTCCCAATTCCTCATCATAGCATAAATGGGGAAAAAATTGAGATAGGATTGCTTTCTTCACTGTTGAGCTATCAGTCCAGTGAGCAAACAAAAAGCTATGAAAATTTCACATACCATAAACCATTTCACTTAAAGGAAATAAAATTTGAATGTTTTATTTTTCATTTTGAAGAGCAGAAAAGTCAGGTAAAGATTTTCTAAAGGTGATATTTTCTGTAATCAGTAAATATTTAAATCAAAAGCACTGTTATTTATATAGAGATTTAAAGGATTTAAAAATAATATCCCAAAATCCTTACCTGTACTTTGAAATAAAAAAGATTTCTCCATGAAAAGTTTACTTCTTCCAGCAGCTATTTTTGTTAACAATCACTATTAAACTTAACATTGCATAAATTTTGTATCAATTCCAAAACTCTTACCCACAATTAGTCACTTGATGGCTACTGTTAAACATGTTGGGAGACAAAAGGAATTCTGTCACTTTTACTGGTATTCCTGGTGATAGCATCTTTACAAATATACCCTTAAGCAAAATAACTGATATTTGTCTGTGCCCACTTCAGAGTGGTTAATTTAAGTCTCCTCTTGATTGCTGGCTAGGCAGGCTAAGAACTACTTTGCTCAGCTATTTGGATTCCTCTGGATCCTGCACGTAGCCCTCAACCTTGGTGTGTGTGGACCACTTCACTGGCACAAAAGTCCCCATGATTACATATTTTATACTTTTCTATTTACCACTGTAAAAAAACAAACAAAATAAAATTCTGAATGCACAGACATAGAAAACTAACTTATGGTTACCAAAGGGCAGAAGGAGTAGGGAGGGACAAATTAGGAGTATGGTATTAGCATATACAAACTACTATACGTAAAATAGATAAAAAGGGTTTACTCTATAGCACAAGGAATTATACTCAATATCTTGTAATAACCTATAATGGAATATAATCTGAAAAAGTGAATCATATGCTGTACACCTGAAACTAACACAGTACTATAAATCAACTATATTTCAATTTAAAAAATCCTCAATGAAAATCACACCAAAAAGTATTAGAAAGAATGTAATTATTTTTGTAGAAAAACCAATTAAATAAATCACAAAAGAGTTATCCTGCAATAAAAATGTATAAAATGTAATTTAAATTATTTTTATTTATATCAAAGCATAAATATATATAGCTTAAAAAGCTAGGTAATAACTACAAAGCTTGTAACAAAAAAATAGTCTTTTGTCTCCTGCTTCTCCACCCTTGCATAGCTCCTTCTTATCTCCAAATTCATAGTTACTTCTTCTGGTATTTACACACAGATATATATATTACTGAGATTCAGCACTCTTATACTATTCCACATTCCCACTGTCTCATTCTTCACTTTCCTAGTAACATTGGTTATATCACAAATGTTTTTAAGTTAATATACAATGTTTACTTTATCATTACTATGTAAGTGTTACCTGTTGAGCCAAGTAGGTACTAGAATTTTATATATATTTTCTCATAATTTTCCTGGACTTAATAACTGTCTTTCCATTTGCTTAGTTTTCTATGTCACTATTGGTAATTCTCTCTAAACTTTATTCCAGAATTATAAAGCCTGTCTGAATAGTATTTTTCTCATAATCAACTAGATCAGGTAATCTGTTATTTAGTTTTCCCTATGCGAGAGATATTCCACTCACAGCCTTTAGGTTCTTTTCTTTATCCTCAATTCTAAAATTTTATGATAATCTGCTTGGTGGTACTTTCTTTTTTCCCCTTTCCATTCATTGTGGTGGGTACTTGGTAGGCCTTTTCAATCTGGAAACTCATGCTCTGAAGTTCTGGACATTTGGCAGATATTATTCTCTGGTAATTTCCTTCCCTTTTTCCTATCCTCTCTTTCTAGAACAACCAGAAGTTGGATGTTGGACCTCTTAGACTAATTCTCTCATTTTCTTATCTTTATTTTATTTTTGTTCTACTCTTTGGAGATTTCCTTGACTTTACTTCAGCAATGACATTTTTCATTTGCAAAATCTCTTGTTCTACTGTATAGCACAGGGAAATTTTACACAAAACGTTATGGTAACTAACAGAGAAAAAAATGTGA